CTAACTGGCCCCCACTCCATTCGACTGAATTCGATCGGCAGTGTGCACCGGGTGCTTTTTTTTTTTCTTCTTTTAAAGTTTTAGTGCGGTTTTACTCCGCTCAAAACTACATATAGTCATAATATGAGCGCCAAAAGAGGTAGGTCTAGATGTCAACAGAGAAGTCCAAACGGGTAATCAGGCTTACTCTGCTCACCTCTCTAGCCTCAACAGCACGCCACAAAGTGGGAAGAGGGGTGGGGGGGGGGGAGACTGGGTGCTATTTTTAGGGAGTGATTATGTATCTTGCGTTCAAAGAGTAGGACAAGAAACCAGTTTCAGTTTCAGCCCAAGTACAGTCATGATATTATGTGTATGTCACATGTGCGTATCAGGAGAGTGTTTAGTTTTAGTTAGAATACGTGTTTTACGGCACTTGCAACACAATAAGGTCATATAAGTGCAGAAGATTAGAGGCGTTACAAGAGAGTAACAAAACAAATAAAAAAGGAGGGGAGATAATGACGAGAGATGTTTAGTTTTAGTTTTAGTAAGAGTTTTACGGCACTTGCAACACAATGAGGTCATATAAGTGCCAAAGATTAAATTATGTGTTACAAGAGGGTAACAAACACAAAAAAGAAGGAGGGGATATAATAAGGACGATAGATGTTTGATAGGAAAGAAGAAGCAAACCACACCAGAGCACCCGCCAACCACCCACTCACGAGAGTGTGAATGTGCGGAAGTCTAGACTTGAAGATGAAGCGACTTCAAATGAGGAAAACTTTGGTCACCTGATCGCTGCAATTTGCTATGTCCTAACCCTATCCGTACGCCCTGCGATCATTTCTACTCCCAGGGTTGTATTCTTCACATTTTAGAAAACTTCTAGTGGGAAGATCTCTTTGAAACTAAGTATTTTTCTGAAAAATCATTTTCACAGACTGCTATGCAAAGCGTACGGATCGGATTAACGAGTAAATTTCCTCTTTTGAAAGTGGTGGCACAGAGTTCTCCGCGTCGAATAGATACGATATTAAACAAGACACTCGGATAGGGTTACGTAAGTGTTTTACGGCACTTGCAACACAATAAGGTCATAATATAAGTGCCGAAGACTAGAGGTGTTACACGAGAGTAACAAACACAAAAGAAAAGAAGGAAGAGAGATCGGGACGATAGATGTTTGAGAGGAAAGAAGAAGCAAACCACACCAGAGCACCCGCAAACCAACCACTCGGGAGAGTGTGGTGAACGTGCGGAAGTCTAGACTTGAAGTGTTGAAGCGACTTCACGTGAGGAATACTTGGTCACCTGGTCGCTGAAATTTGCTAGGTCTTAACCCTACCCGTACGCCTTTAGGTCATTTTGTACCCCCTGGGGTTGTATTCTTCACATTTTAGAATACTTCTAGTACGAAGATCTCTTTGAAACTTTCTGTATTTCTAAAAAAAAAAAAACATTGACAGACTGCTATGCAAAGCTGACGGATCGGATTAACGGGTAAATTTCCTCTTTGGAAAGTGGTGGCACAGAGTTCCCCACGTCGAATGGATACGATCGTAAAACACGATGTACGGATAGGGTTAAGTAAGTGTTTTACGACACTTGCAACACAATAATGTAAGTACCGAAGATTAGAGGTGCTACAAGAGAGTAACAAACACAAAAACAAAAGGGGGGGGGGGG